TAGAATTTAGCTATATTATTGAAGATTATTATTTTAGAAACGCTTCTTGTTTCATAAAATGTGCATGAATGCGTGATATTTGATAGTTCTATGCAACATCATGTAAGATATATCTAATTTAACTTATAAATAATAATTAATTAACCCATCAATGATCAATAATTGTTGCCAGATGTTAGAAATAAAAACAACGTAGTCGGCTTTGAACCGATTTGTAGTCGACATCTAGTCTTTCTAGCTAGTTAGCAAGTTAGGTAACTTAAGTTACGTTCAATCTAGGACTTCAAATTAAATTCTATTTTCTAGTAAAATAATATACATATTAAAGAAATCTAGTTAGTATAAACTTAATCTTTGTAATGACTACAAATTTTTAACGCCTAGCAGATAATTTATAGGTATTAAAATTAACTTTAGATGTGATGTAGAAACTATAATCTAGGTTATAGGCAGTTATATAACATACATATCTACCTAATTAGCTAAATCATTGTATGTTACGCAAGAGGTTAAGGATCCTTATCAGTTTAAAAAAGTAAATTAAGTAGTAGAAAGGTACAGATTCGTTTATTACATTTTTGGATACAAAAATGTTAACATACGTACCTAGTTTTAAGAAGAAAACAATATTAACTCGAATTATAATTATTCTGCAGCGTCACAATACAATTGTTTCAATGCGACGCCATTAATGTACAACGAAATAATAACCTTAAACCTAATATTGCCACGGCCCAGTATCATTTAGTAAATTGCTACTAACCTGCTTAATTATACCGATAGTTACTAAATTTTACTTAATCTTTTTAAATTCACGTCGAACCATCACTAGAACCTTAATAAATTTATTTTTAGTCTTAGTTTATGTAATATTTTTGTCTCATAGGCTTTAGGCACTCCTTAGTTCACGGTTTGAGTCTCAAAACTGTTCGATTTGCACAGCCACGGAGAATGCAGACGAGACGAGGGACGCAGGCACCACGCCCCACCGCGCGGCGGTCGACACTCGGCAGCTGATTCATATTTCATTCGGCAATCGGCTTACAGTTGCATAGGTTGCCTGTGTCTTCCGTATTTTTCATACGATTTGTGATTATACGACGACAGAATACATGGGAATGTTCAAGTAGTGTTGTTAATATTGTTATCTAATTTAAACATTCTAGTGATTTTGAGTCTGGTAAATTTGATAATCATTTGGTATTTCTTTGCTTTGGATAGGAATGCGTAAATTATTTTCACGAGGTGATGTTGTTACGTCATCCTTGTCATGTGTAGTGAGTTACTTGTGATAAAATACAAAAATGTAAAAATTTGAACATATATATAATTGCAGCGAAGGCTTTAAAGTTAATATTGATTAATATTGGAGCCAAGTGCTAGCACGGGAAGTATCACTAAGTGTCTTAATCTGTAAATCTGTGAAATACATAGGTACATGTACCTATGTACTTGTACTTGATGCTATAAAACTTAACAATAATTTATAACAACTGTAACATCAAACAAATTCAATATATGAAATTCAAATATTTCATCAATTATAGAAAGGCAAAACAAAAAGATATTAGATATATATTGACAAAAACAATACCCTATACGTATTGTTAATTATATTATATTAATATAATAATATACCACACAGTAATAGTAAACCAAATTAGGTATAAAAATATGTAAACCTACAAACTACAACAATAAAAAATTACATTATTATTATGACTTTAGTTAAAACTAAAATCCATATAATCAAAGAACCTGAATAAATATATGTGAATGTGCATTATTCAGATAAAACTTCCCTTTAAACAATGTATTTTGGCAATATGACAACACTTACCTATTTAGTAAAAAGAAAAATATGTCAATAAAATCCATTGAAGTTCTTGTGAATTAATAAATGTCTAAACTAAAACCCAAAATTAATCTTGTGCAATAAACAAAAATGGAGGGGAAACATTGATGTATATAACTTCTAGTTATAATAATTATAAGGTATTCTAGCCTCAGGGATTTTAAACAATAAACACAGTGTAGCCGCGGCGTTCTGCCTCAAAGTTCTTACTAAAAATAATTACTAAATTCTATGCCTAACAGGAGTACCTCTACATATGTTAACTTGTATGTTTAGTGCCTACTACTTCAACTTTTTGTTCAGCTACGCAAAATCTGCTTGGCCTTTACCAATTATATGAAGAATTTCCATCACTCCCTGTCCTGAGCTACTTTTTGCCAGTTACTTCCTTCCTGACCTTCAGTAATATTGTAGCAAAGACAATTCATTGTCTCTAGTTGCAGGAGCTGTAGCGTTATTCGTTTAAAGTGCTTAAAAACGTACAACAGTATTCCTTTTTAAGCACAGTCAAACGAAATATTTGAAATAATTTTTGAATTTTTAAAAGATGTTAGGTGTATTTATTATGTATGAGCCATAATTGTTAATTTTGTGGTTATTTGGTAATGCTCGATGATCTACTAGAAAAGATTATTAATTACATCAAATAAATACACTCCGACCTCATAAATAAGACTAGCTAGCACAAGTTGGAATTACGTATTTCCTTGGATAAAATGGGTACCTATAGGCGTGTCGACTGAACGAGGAGACTGGGTGGAAATTGGAATAGTTTGAATTTGGACACTCGTGTTGTGTCATTTTTAATCATTACGTAGATGTATTGAATGATTGTACTGCGCATGCCCGAAACGCGAAGAATCCATTAACCTACATACGTCTACATGACCTCGATGGTGGCAAACGAATATCACCTACTTAAATTACATATTTCTATCAACTGCAAAATAATAGTAGTTGATATAACCACAACATGTATACTATATATACTCCTTATATAGAATAGTAGTTAATTTATTCAGTGACTGGCTGACGGGGATTGTGAAATCGAGGTTAGAACTCATGCTAAGACAGGTCGCGTCCTCTGTAAATGACATGGCATTTTAACTTTAAGCAGGATAATTTTAAAATGTTAAAATATTCAAAAAATATGATGGTAATCTAAAAATTAATACATACAATTTAGTATAAAAGGAGAACAAAAATAAAACATCATAAAACTTTGAATTTTTCTTTAATAATTTAAAGCTGACAATCTGTGTTATTGAGCGACTTCAGAGCGCCTTAAACCTTTCTCAATGTTTCATTACTACTCCCTAAAAAGTCAACTTGCTCGCAACGCAAACATGCTGAACATTTCAGACTCCTAATTGGACTTAAATTACGTTACCGCAAAATTGACTTTTTGCAATAAGATCGACATTTTATACATTTCCATTTATCACTAAGACCTACTTTAATATATCTTGGTTTAACCAAAGCCTCATGTAATAGATGTGAATTAATAAAAAATAGTATCAAAGGACACATGATTGACAGAAATCTCAAAGTTTAAACTGATAGAAATCTGCGCTTGAGCAGGCAGAGCATAGGCGATTTGACGCTATGTAATTTAGGTCTCGCGTTTTATGTGGAAATTGAAACTGGATCGAGTATGTGTTTGGAGATTACCAGATAATATTCTACATTTCAAATTACTTTACCCTTGTGTAACAACTGAAGGGTTAAAGATTATGTGAGCTTTTTGCATCGCTGTTTTATTAGATAGCCTGCATAAGAGCAATTTAACTTTTACGTCTAATCGCCTATACATACTAGTTATTTCTTTCTTTTGACCTTGGGTGCATAAGTTGAGCCGAAACGTTTGGACGGGAGACCAAAATAAAAATATAATTGACAGGCGCAGGTCTCAACTCGTCAGCTTATTATAGACCAAAAGCTAAGCTTAAACGTAGCGGTGCTAAGCATAAGTTTAGCTCTTGGTGTATGATCTGCATCGTGACAGTATTAAAAATATTGTTTTAATTATGGAAATATTAAAATAAATAATAGTTAATGGCGCCGAATCTGTTTCGACATCTCTTCGACAATGCACTACCTTTACTGACGAATGCAAGTTTCGTAAGCAATATAAGACAAATTAACGAGAAGTCATTGTTGAATTAATATGAATTGCCCAATTGCTCAACGGACTTTGTCAGCGGTACCCGAATGTAAAAACTTTGTTCGTTTAAATGTAGCATGCTATATCAAAAAGTACACTAGTAAGAGTTACTTAAACACTTCATATTCCGGAGACTATCACTTTACCAAAAGGCATAAGGACATTCTTTAGTCAATTTATTTGTCGACGGATTTCTCCAACATTGATTTTAGGTATTATTACCAAATCATCTTATGCCATCACACAATAATTTGTCAAACAACGCAAGTAGCAAGTTTTGCGATCATTGATAATTGAAATATTTCTGCCAAAATCTTAATACAACTACTTTCAATAAAAATCGTGTTAAGAAAACAAAATAATTTTTAAAATTGCAAAACCATTACAAAATTTCTTAGCAATTTATGATTATGCAATGAATCTCCCTCAAAAACACGAGATTGTCAAAACTTTATCAACGAGCATTTCGTTTGACAGAAAAAAAGTCCTATTTGACAAAAAAGTAACCGGAACGAAACTAATTGTACCAGCAATTATTCTCCATCTTTGAGTTGTTTTGAAATCACCGTATCAATACATTAATCTTCGTCTGCAACATTTGGCCAATTTTTAATTACCATTTCTCGATAAACGGCTCATTTTGAAATATGTATAGTAATTTTGAGAACGTTTAAATTCAAACCATCGCTAGATTTATGCTTTGTAAAATTCATAATATAAGACACATTTTATTGCTGTTATTTCGCTTGTAAATGGTAACTGCAACTTTTCACGAATTCTGGCTTGTAAATTCCGACCACAACGAGTGATTTATATTTTTAAAATTAAAAGATGAGAATATTCCGTAAACGGTATTTCGAATTCTTCACTTTCGAAATTGTCCAATTCCGTCAAAAATCAGTCATGCCGGTTCTACCCGCATAAATTTTAAAAAATAGAACAAAATGGAGGGTAGGTGAGTTACATATCGCGTCATCTGACTCAGTTGCGCACCGGCGGCGCAGGTGAGTGGTGGTGTCGCTCAAGGTCTTCTAAGGAGAGGGCATTAGGGACGTGTACTGATGGCAGTTTGCCCTCGGAGGCACGCGCAAGTAATTCCGGCGAAAACCACTTGGCTAGCTGGTTGTCACCACCACCGCTGTTCACTTCTGCAAGAACCAAAAGGGTAATTTAGAATAAGTTCAATATATACAAACATTATCATTAACAATGAAGAAATTAAGCAATTATATCACTAACAGGAGGCAACGAAGGTAACTGACCATTCAACGACCTCTGGTGCGAATTCACTAGAAGCTGATGCAGCGTGGTACCGCCCGACATTCCTCGGCTCATGTTCATGTTAAACTGAAAAGATACCAAACATTTAACGACCATTGAAAATAGCAAAGACAACCCAACCGCACTCAGGTTAATAAATCTACAATAAAATTACATCCTTAAGTTTATTGCTGATTTCTATCTTATAGTTATTTACAGAGAGAGATTAATGATGAGATTAAAAAGAGAGAGACGAACAAGTACTTTAGTTAATAACTAATTTAGTTCTATGTATACTGTTCAGTCTCGCTGTATTATTCGTGATGTATTAACTCAATATCATATATTCTCAGGCCGATAATAATACATATTTTTTCAATTATAACGCCTAATCTATTAATATAAAAATTGCCATAAACTAACCGTATTATTAACGGGTTGTCTCGGTTGTTGATGGGGGAATTGACGTACACCACTCATTGGCTGAAATACACGCATTAAATATTGTTTTAATTCTTGTGCATTAGTAGTATTACTTAAAAAAAGAATAATACAAATATACCAGAAAATTCTCTATGCATAGTAATGGTAGGATGGGCTTATATAATATATATATATATATATGAGAAAAGACATGTTTTTCTATACTTATTTAAAAAAAAATATAATACATGTTGTAATAATAAAGATAAGTTACCTGTTGGCTCATGTAGTGATAATCACTGGGTGAAGGAGCATAGCCCATGGGCGCTCCACCGCTTTGGTTTCCCTGAAAATATATAATTTTATTATGAAATGAACTTACAGTGCAATTATTAAAAGTAATATTATTTAAATTGATACCGATCGTTTGACTTTATAAACCATTGCTAATTCCATTGCCATTATTATCCGATAATCTGTTTCTTTATCTCTATTTTGGTAAGTTATGTTATTAGTTGTCTTAATAAACATTAAGTTCTGAATTATTATTACTTTTCATTTTCTTCTTCACGATTTCTCGGCTTTTTAATATCTGTTTTTTCGTTACTTTTGTGAAGTTTTAAATTGCAGATTGTATTATGCACAATAAATTGTAAATCAAGAAATAATCACCATTAAATAAATAACAACCCATAAATATATTCATGAGATCATAATATACTTAATATTTACACAACAGTCAGTAAACTTATTGTTCAAAGAACATTATTACCTTAACAATGGGCCTGCCTTGGGGTAGCTTGTGGGGCTGGCTCCACTGCTTGGGGCTTGGCGAGTCCGACTCCTTCTCTGCCGTCATCTTACGTAACACCTGAATCAATAGCACTTTAATTAAAGAAACAAATGTTAACACAAGAAACGGAAAATTATCGTTAGCATTTGCAAACTAGCGTCAATTATTGTAAGCCATAGATATTTGACAAAAAAGTGGTTTGACGACGAAACTGTCAGTTGAAAGCTGCGTTTATTTTAAGTAACAGATAATAAGTGATCCAGGCTGAAGAAGCTACGAAACTGTTCTTATAATATGCGGTATTAGTCATTACTTTGTCTTGGGACTTTAATTTGCACTACACTATAAAAGCAGGAATACTAGCTCAAAACAGCAGTTCATTTTAAATCCTCATTATAAGGAAAAACTGTGCCATGTAGCTTCAATTGTTTTAATCCAAACGATAAAAAACTAGCGGCTCTACTCCTTAGGTCTGGGCCTTAGATTTTTGTATCTGTTTTGTGATCTTTTTATTTTCTCCAATAGGCAAGGTTTTCCAGCCTTCTCGCACACAGACACACGCTGTCGACTTTATGGGCCTAAGGCGTGCCCGGTTTCCTCACGATGTTTTCCTTCACCATACGAGCGAGTGATAAAGGCCTACATAGAAAATCAATTCAGATATACTGTTATATAACATTATTTGGTAAATGGACTAGCTTTTAATAGTTGTTCCTAAGATTGGTAAACAAACATACTCTTCAGCTTTAAATCTTAATATATATAAATTACGTGTCACGTTGTTTGTACGCTATGGACTCCTAAACTACCGAACCGATTTCAATCAAATTTGCACACCGTGTGCGGTTTGACCTAATCGGTTTGATCTCAATTGATACCCGCAATATTATTTTATTGCAAAATATTTGTTTATTATTTGATAGTCACAATTCTAACAGATAGCGCTGTGTTGAAAGTACCAACGTTTGAAATAAGCTACAATTTAATGGCATAACCACCAAAAGAGCATGGTGGTCCCCATGACTGGTGTTCTCCTACCGTTTCCTTGAATAGGTTACTACTATGTAATATAAGTAAAACTTTAGCCACAGCAACGCTTGGCCGGTCTGCTAGTATTAGTATAGATATTATAAAATAGCAAAGTAAACTACTATGTGTATTGGGAGTTAAATGATTTTTTCATTTACGCTAAGTATTGGAGCTATCTTTTTCACTCTGAAACTGCTGAATCTTTGTAGCCGTAACTTACCGAGGTGGGTGTAAACGAGATGGGCGTGGGATGCTTGATCTGCTGCTGCTGCATCTCACGTCGATGGCGTTCCTCCAACTTCTTCTTTAGAATCGCGCCCTGCATCAGCGACTGCGAGTGGATCATTTCCCTTGGGGACGGTATACGACCTGTGATTTAGTATTTTGTGTCATGAAGTGAAATATTAAATAGAGCGTTCCATTTATGTTCTAAAAATCAATGCATATTTTTAGATTAGAAAAATGTTCCAACGTGATATAACATCTGCAGCATTGTTTTAATCAAACATGTTTAATTCTTGTAAAATATTTCTTAATATTACAAATACTGGAAACATTACCAACTATGGCTAAAACAGCTGAATGAGCTGAATAATATGACAGCAAGTATTTTCTATCAATCAACTGGTTTTGCAGTCTTCTTTAAATCTTTACGCTATAGTTTGATGCTAAAGATAGGATTTGTTCAATATATACATACATTATTATACTTAAGCAGGTAAACTAGCAAAAGTGTAAAAACGTTTAAATAGCATTTTAACACTATACTACTGTGCGTTATTTTATTGCGTATTTTTTAAATATACTTGGAATTATCCAGATCTAAGTCTTCTAGGGGTCTACCTTGTTGGTGAGATCCGAGCGGGTTGGGACTAGCCATCATCGGTGACATGCAAAAAGCTGCGTCCAGTGAGATACAACTGACATAATTTTACTTCTACAAGGAATTGTTCTAAAAATCTATATTAACCACGCAATTGATAAAGCTGTAAGGGAAATGTTTGCAAATGTGCCCGAAACATTTCAGACATTATATTATATTAACATATTTTGAATATGTTAATACAACCAATGACAATTTTGAAACTGCTTTCTTCAGTGCCCATACAAGGGTAATTATTGATGAACATATTGATGACCCAGCTCTATATAAAGAGGAAAAAAGTACCATATTTTGTTTTGCAACGGGTTACTAAATAATATTTTTTAGGAATTCGTTCATTCTAAAGTGATATTCTGTAGCCAAGACACGCAAAGTATAGTAATATTCTTATTTTATTTTATAAAATAATATTCAACTACAATTAGTAGAACTGACCTGTCTGCGGCACTGGTGAGAGCCTCAGTGGCTGATGATGAGAGACTCCGAGATGAGGGTTCACGTTCGGAAGAGGGGAACCGACCATTTGCTGCAATATTTAAAAAAAAATATAAATAGTTATACTTATCATAATACTAACGCCCAATCTCATCTTTAGAAAGCTGGAATATTTTTTTAAATAAAATCTAACAGCCTGTAGAAAAGTGAATGATCACTTTTTCATATGAAGTGAATCATCCTGTGAATGAAAGAACTAAAAAACGACTGAACTGATTTTGATGAAACTTTTCTATGTTGGAATGAAAAGGAAAACCTGATTCACAAAAGACCAGTAAATGCTCACAATATGACGTTTAGTTTTAAAGAAAGGGCATTCCGTTTATGTCTGTTAATAAACTTTGTCCTACTTTAAAAGTTACCTGTCTCTGATGGTTCAGCCGGAGTATGGTGAGCAAAACTTCCCGGTGCCTGCTTTGCAGACCGGGGTTACCCAGCTGCTGCATCAGATGCTGAACTGTAATCTCACCGGCTTTAAGACCTGCAATTATTTAATTTTTTAAAATTATAGCTCCTTAGACTTATTTATTGTTAATTACAATTATTTCAAACGATTTTGAAGAAACAAAATCTAATAAAACTTATCTTTAAATATTATCGTTAAGTTTTTTATTTATTTATTTATAGAAACACTACTGCCCTAACAGGCGACCCTAAACTAAACAAAAAAAAGCAAACATACGAAATTAATTAGGAAAAACAAAATTACACAATAAAAAATACAAGAACATAACTAACCACTATAGGCAATAACAAATAATAGAACTTTTGCCAGTTCACTCAACGGACAATGAATAAGGTCCGTTAACCTATGTAATTCGTTAACTAAATTAATACACCGTATCATATAAGCACTTTTCAGAAGGTTAGTCCAAGCTGTGGGCACATTAAGTAAAGGCGGTCTATCAGACTATGTCGCTTTCTGACGTACCCAGGTACATTGAGGCTAAGGTACTGAAGTACCTACTGTCCAATTACTGTCCTTACCATGTAACAATTTTGTGAAGTACATCACAAGCGAAAATTCTCGGCGTAGTTTAAGCTCGTTGTAACCCACAGAACCAAGAATAAATAAGGTCGAATACATGAGTGGGTAAAAAGGGTACACACTGTATGTACTAAAATAGATGTGCCTCAGAAATTTGTTTTGTAACTTTTAATATAATAGAAATCCAAATGAAGCATCCGAAAAACTACAGAAATACCTGGACAAAATAGGATTATGGTTAAAGAAGGAGGAGGATACGGGCAAGCCCAGCAAAATCAGTTCATGTCACATTCACACTAAGAAGAGAAGAGTGCTCACCGGTGACTCTGGAGGGAGTTGTTTTGCCAAAACGGACTACAGCCAAATATTTGGGCATGCACCTGGACAAACGCTTGACTTGGCAAGACCATATAAAAGCCAAGAAGGAGCATGCTATTGGAAGGCTTCGTAGCATGAACTGGCTATTAGGTAGAAATGCCGCACTTAGTTTGGACAATAAACTTCTCATCTACAAAACTGTAATAAAACCAATATGGTTCTATGGGATACAGCTCTGGGGGTCAGCAAGCCGCTCTAATATCGAAATCCTGCAGCGGCTACAAAACAAAACACTGCGAAATATGAGCGGTGCGCCGTGGTTAACATTAAATGCTGAAGTCCATAAATATTTGGGAATTGCCACAGTCGAGGAAGACATTAAAAGATCAACCGTGCGATACAAAATGAGACTTCAGCAACACGTCAACCCCCTAGCTTCGGACCTCTTGGAAACGACGGACAGTGTGAATCGGCTGAGAAGGGCGAAACTTGCCGCAGTCTGACAGTTTACGAATTACGGAGGGAATAAAAAAATTATTGGATTTGCGTTCCCTAAATGCCATTATTTCTTATAAAATCTAATAAAAGCCATGAGGCTGATTGCAGAAGGATTAAAAAAAACTTTTAATATGCTAACATAGTTACAACAGAACAGCAAACACAATTTAGTGAATAATAATAACATTAATAGCAACTCGAACTCAAAAATCTTGCTGTAAAAAAGCCTTACCATGTATGATAGCTTGGGCTTCAGGCCGCTGTAGCAGTTCTCTATCAGCGTTCGAAAGACCCACAGGCCCCATCTCGCTACTCGGCGCTTGTTGCTGCCGCTGAAATATGGGAAAATCTCTTACATTTAGATACTAACACTAATATTTTGTTAGATCAGTTAGAAGAATTTGATGGAATCTAATGAATGTTGACGTAAAAATTCTTTGTATTTAATCAGTAATTAACCAGATAATTAGGTTCCTGATTTTAATAGACCAGTGGCAAACGACCAAGCAGTTTACCAAATGTTAAGTGATACCGCTCATGGACACTTACATTGCACATAGTGAGTGCGTTGCCTGTCGTTTAAAAATTAGTCCGCTCTTGAAGGCCAATGGGCAGATTGCTTCCACATAGTGGTGGTGCGCGGCAAAAAGTGCCTTAAAATGCTCAGTTGTGGAACGATGGCATAAAAGATTATAAATTTTGTATATTTTGGCAGAAATGCAGGTTTAAGCTACTCATTTTACACTTAATCAGATATTTGATTAGCTAATGTTGCGCTAATGAGCTTTTCAGAAACGACGTTAGACAATGTTTTTATTATTGAAAAAAGGAGTATCTCTGATTTTTCTACGCATTTCACTTGTCTAAGAAAGAATATTACAAACTAAATAATTATAATAAAATAATTATTAAATTTTGTTAAAAATATCATTAAAATGTGTAAAACAAGAAATCTATAGTTTTTTTAGAACAGCGGGGTCAACGGGTAGGTAGGGTGACTTTTAAGAATTGTTATGCTCTGTTCTTGAAGGAATAATATTCATCAATTAACGGTAGACGCTCGGTATGTGTTAACTAATTCATAATAAATAATTATAAATTTCTATCACAGCAACGCAAGCAAGTATAAATTTCAAACCTGTACATGTAGGAGCTTGTATAGGAGCTCCGGTGGGATGTGCGGCTGCTGCTGCACCTTCTGCTGCTGCTGTTGTTGTTGTTGCTGCTGCTGTTGCTTTTCCAAACTTTTGTTCAACATCTATAAACCAATTAGAGCATTCAGTGTTAAACATTCTAGAGGATAAATTAATAACAAAGCGTTTCTACATCAGAAAAAAGCTAAAGTTTACCTGCAAAAGGCTCATGGGTTGCGCAGGCGCGTTGTGGTGAGCATGATGCGCGGTCGGAGGCGCACGCGCACGATCCGCGGGAACCACGTGACCACCTGATACTTGCGCTAGCTAAAAACACAACTATCACTTTAATCAAGTAATTTATAGTCTTAAAAATATTTTTAAGTCTCGATTTCTAATCTACGATGGGATTGGGATTAGATAATTGTTAAATTAAAATACATAAAATGTGTTTAAAGACACTCAATTAGTTAGCTTAATTAATAAGCGTACCGGATTAAAATTTTATATAAAAATTAATTTGTATTTATAACCGTTATTAATAAACACTCACGAGTCGTTTGAAGGCAGACAAGTCTCTGTCAGTTGGCGGTGGCTGCGCATGCGCAGGGGGCTGCGGTCGCAGACGAGCTTCAAGCTCTTCTAAGCTGTGAATCTTACCGCTTACGTTCGAATTCAATTCTGAAAGACACAATGATTGGTTTTTAATGAAGATATGTTGATTAGAGTTAAACTAATAATATTATAAAAGAGAGAAAAAAACATTTTGCATAACAAGGCACCAAATGCCTTACCTGGTCTCTCATCCGGATATGGGTTCGCCCTCAGCAGATCCAACAAAGATGGCGTGCTGGCAGGTGGATTAAACGGCTGCTCCATGAAGCCACCCATGGGCAAGTTATTCATAGCGGTCACACCATTAAGCATACCGCCCATGGGCATTCCACTCATATTCATCGTACTAGTAGGTGGTTCTATTTTTGTTGAATTATCGAGATCTGGAGGAAATTCATTTACATGATTCCCATTGTATAGAATAGCAATAAAAAGCACAAATCTTTCTCGGGTAAAGAGATATTCACCTTCTATATAAACCTTGCAAAGGGGATTTAATTATGTTTAGACGAACGTTAACAAATTGTATTCTTCAATAAATCTTTAATGTTCAGCTTCAAAAAAAAATTAAACCCAGGATTTTCCAGGTTAAACGAACTAACTCGGGATTTATACTTTGCAATAAATCATTTCATATATCCTAGAGCAACTAACAAAGATCTTAACTAACAGTTAATTAAATTATCCTGCTCATTAATATTGGTGTTTAATTAACTTATATAAGTAAATTATCTTACCATCAACCATATTATGCATCAGTCGTTCATAGTGCTTCGAATCATTCGTGGGACTCTCTCTCCGGAACCACCGACTGAATCTGCTCTCTTCAGTATCTCCTGTGCCGTTCTACCAACAAATATACAAGTTATTGGAACTGAAATACCTTTTAAAAGAGTGATTAACGTCTTTTGGACATTATCTTCCGATTGCCGAAAATCAAACTTCAATGACATTATTTATTGTAATCCTATCAGCTATATACGAAAGTTTTTAACATAACTTTGTATAAGATTCAATAACATGAAAAAATAAAAGAATAAAAGTTAAATAAGTCTTTAGTCTAGTAGTTTTCTATAAAAAATTAAATATAAGGTAACATATATACTATATTTTAACCAAAAATTATTGTTTAGCATGATATACTTCTATGTAAGCAAGACGGAAAATTCGATTAATATCATTGCTTGATGGATGGATGATATTTAAGATGTTTAGTTTGTTGGATTCGTATATCCGGAATAGGAGAATAAGTATTAAAATATAATATTCATACAAAAAAATAATAATTACAAAAACATCAATCTACTCGTTCATTTGTTAAAAATACAATTAAAAAACAGCTCTCGTAATTTAAGGTTTGATTTGAAAAAAACCGCAAAGTTGACCGGTCGATGTGTTTCTTGAAACTAAATAATTTTAAATCATAAATTGCATGCATCGACGAACTGTGTACCGAGTATTAGGTATATACACTTTGCCGGATTATAACGTAACTATTTATTTTGAATTAACAATAATAGGTGTCAGGACACCAAGTCAAAATAACTTAGTAAAAGCCACTTACAGTAAGCACTTCGGGTATTTGGTCGAATTGGAGGAATTCATCCAAATTAAAATCGGGTTGATCATTATTGACAGCCGGTTCCTCAGGTTTGGACTCCACGCCTGAATCCTTATCCTGTTCAACAAAAAGTAAAGATATTTCAATTATATCAAAATAAAATCAGAAGAAATCAATCATAAAGAGTATTTAAAAAAATAATATGTAACGTGAGAACCTTAAAGTAAAAAACTTTTACAGAGCAAAGTTTTATCTTCCCGTTTGAAATTAACAAACCCAGCCTTATTATTAAAAGTGAAAGTTAATTACCAAGCGACGATGTGATTTTTATACACAAAATGGTAACCATGGCATCGAAAACGGTACTTTCATCCACATTTCGTAATAAAGCCGACCCCAGTTCACTTGGTTATTATAATTTAAAGCCAGCTGGTCAACAGGTCTGCCATACGAGTCTTATTTTAAAAGGAAAATAAATAACAGTCTTACATCCCCACACCTTCACTAGGTACAAAAAAATTTGACTTGTTTTTTTATCTTAATATATATAAAACTAGTGGACCCCACAGACGTTGTCTTGCATGATATTTAAAGCGATTAGGATATTAAGCAAAGTATGAAAGTACCGACTGCAGTGCCATCTGCCGGGCTGATTTGTGAATCTAAACCATTCCCAGATCCCCTTGAACACACACAAAAAATTTCATCAAAATTGGTCCAGTCGTTTAGGAGGAGTTCAGTCACATACACACGCACACAAGAAATATATATATATTAAATACACGTCACGTTGTTTGTCCGCTATGGACTCGCTAAACTACTAAACCGATTTCAATCAAATTTGCACACCGTGTTCAGTTTGATCTAACTTAAAAGATAGAATAGCTTCCATATATATATATATATATATATATATATATATAATTCTACTGTACGTGTGTATGTCACTGAACTCCTCTTAAACGGCTGGTCCGTTTTGTTTTGTTTTTTTGTGTGCGTTTGGGTGGAGCCCTGGATGGTTTAGATTCATAAATTAACCTGGCAGATGGCGCTGCAGTCGGTACTTTCATACTTTGTTTAGTATCCTATTCGCTTGAAATATCATGCAGGACAACGTCTGTCCTGTCCGCTAGTAATATATAAATCTTATATATTTTAATTAACTTGAAATTCTCATAACGTTTATTAGATTAGTAAAGACAATAATTGCCTTATTGAGATTATAATTATTATAATTACTTACACTAGTTGTATTTGCCGTCTCAGTCTGATTGGGGGAAGATGTTTCCTTTCTCCACTTCTCCACAGGCGATTGAGACCCATTGTTGTTATTCCATTTCTGTAAGAATTTTAACAATAATATATATTTGGATGTCGTGATGTGAAAAAATTACATTATTTGAAAAAAGGTATAAACAACAAAAGAATGATATTATAAATAAGCATTCTTTTGTACATAAATGTTATATTAAAAAATTAAAGGCTAGTTATATTGTTTTAGTGATTTCTTAAATAAGCTTCAACAGTAGTGGCTCTACAACCTTTTAGATCTCAGCCTCATATTTCTATTGGGCAAGTACATCAGCCTTCATCGGCGTCGACTTTTTAGACCTAAGGCATGCAGTTTCCTCACGATGTTTTCCTTCACCGTACGAGCTAGTGTTAATTGCGCACATGGACAGAAAGTTCATTGATGCCCAGCCAGGGTATGAACCTACGACCTAAGGCGTGTCGCACGCTATAGCTTAGGGCAATGTTCGGTATGTAACTTGGCCAAATTTTTCGTTGTGGGGGAAAGATTTCTCATCGCCTCAAACCAACTTTTACGCATCTACTGACACTGGTCAGCTTAACTGATATACCATATATCTATCCTTAAAATGTGATCTCACCTCATTTTCCTTTTCCTTTTCCTTCCCATTAGTCTTCTTAACAGGTTCGTCGAAGCCCCGCAACTCAATCGTCTCCAACTGAGATGTCGGCCCTCCGCTAAACCTATATAGCAAGTGGTTTTAGAAAAAAATTGTTTATGTACAACATACATAACACCATTGACAAAATTCAGTTAACTGTCATAATATGAATCAAGGTCTGTAGGAGTATCCAATTTTTTTATTAAATGATGACGTCACGTCTGTTACTGGCGATCACTATGTGGTTAATTCAATATAGGTTTTTCGTAAAACTTACCATTCGGGCTCATCTTCTTTGTCATACCTCCTACCGTATCGTCCTGACCTGCGATTGTCCTCCCTGACAAAAAAGCAGGAATTATTAGAATTTAATGTGTGCTCATATTTAAATTTCCTCATTTTGTCTATGATCCCATCATAAAATCCCTACTCTGTAACTCTCAATAATGAAATCACAGTGAAGTTTTGGCAAAATGAATATCGCCAACTGAGAGACTGTAAAGTTAGTTAACAGCATAAATGGCCCATTTTATAAAGGTATTAATAATTTAATGTCATAAAATAACAAATAAAGGTAGAGAAGTTAAAAAAATATAGAGATAAGATAAAAAAAAATAAGATTTACTCCACAATTGAGATAAACAAAATTTACTAATGGTAATTGCGCCATCTATGACTTGACTCATTTCGTTGTCTTCGCTCGCTAACTACCGTAAATTTGGATTCCATTAATGATGAAGTTATTATTGGTTTCATCTTTTCTCACAATTGTTACTTAGAGAGTAAGGTCACAGTTCCTAGCCTAGATGATCATTTATTTATTTAAACATTTGTTAACTATCCAAACCATTTACAATGCACAATATTAAAAAAAATTGGCTGGCAATTATACCCTTTCAGTCGTAGCGAACGGGATACATAAATCCCTCTATCGTTATGTGAGTCGATTAAAAAGACTAGCGATCCGTTTTCATATCCAAAAAAACGAGTCGAAACTGGTACAAGTAAACTCTATCCTAAACAAAAAATTTAAATTTAATGTCCAATTGAATTACCTGTCTCGGTGCTTGTCGTTGTTAAATCTGTCATCTCTCTCCCGTTTCATGTCAGAAGAGAAAGAATCTCTTCCAAATGAACGTCGCTCAAACCTGCAAAGTAAATGATGTTCTTCAAGCTTTCAAATATGTATTGTATGCCACTGTACAATAACTGGGCATCATCTCAAAAAAATTTTTTTTTAAATAATATTGAAAGAAGTCATTAATTTTATTTATCCATAATAGTCATCGTACTGATCACGCAGGTAATTTCTTAGTCTTTTAGCCGGTAAATTATGCCTTATTAACCATTTAATTTTAGCATTTTTATTTATTATTAAATAATTTGATTCGTCCAAATATAATATTGGTTTGATTCCATATGTAAATATGAAATCATATTTTATACATACTTTGAAAACCTATCCTGGATAATCTTGTTCATGAATAATTAATATTACTATAATATTGAAATTTGATGTATTTTCAGAGTTAAAAAAACTATCTACGAGAGTTGAGTTGAAGTTTCACTTTAAAAATTTAACAGATGGTTTTAAAAGTGCATTGTCAGGTTTTGAATGAATTAGCAATCAATAACACGAAAAACTCCACCTTAGTCATTTAACATTTTCTACTCACCTATCACCATTGGTTCGTCGGTCATCACGTCGGTCGTCACGGTCACGATCACGCTCACCACGGTCGCGATCACGGTCGCGTTCGCGTTCACGCTCGCGCAACGCGCCGGGAGGGCGATAGATCTCCGCTGTTGGCCGATATTCGTTCTCCTCCCAACCACTTGTTGGTACGTCGCGGACCATTATCCTACCCGAGCCGATTCGACGACCAGCTAAATGGGATTGTGATGATGATTTTGAGAACTGATTTAAAATAATGGTTAAAAATATGTGCAATTTGATAATTTGTGGTGAGATTTTTTTTACGTCTATTTAGCATTATTGACTATGAATCGGATATTTCTTTAAATTAAATTAATGTAGGCAAACCTATACAACATCGTATTATAACTTAAAATACGTGTCACCTGGAATTGCCAATTTATATAGGCCTTTATGTTAAATTTTTGTTAATGGCTTTTATTGAGCAATAAAGTCATCGTCTCAAAGGCCATGTAGGTTAGGTTAGGTTCCGTTACACAAAATAATAAAACATTACGAAAGACAAAACATTAGTAAAACATCTTGCTATTTATTTTATTTTTATTAGTTAATCCTAATATAAATTACAAAAAGAGTAGTAACAGTAGTAGTAACTTTGATGTTGTTTATTTAATAGTACTAGCAGCCACAAAAAGAAATACGTGATAATAAACTAGGAAAAGGGCATTTGCCACGCAATTTCATGAAATGATAAATTCTACAATCCCGCCAGGAAACATGCGTTATGCATACCAAAACTGTTTGTGTTATAAATGTTGTGTATGTCATGTTAAATGTGCTTTGTCAACTTACCTTGCTCCGTCTTCTGCACAGTTTGGGGGGCAGTGGCAGACAAGGGCGACTCCGGGCGCGTCCTAGCCAGTTGGGGGGGCGGTTGAGCGACTGGTGCCCCCGGTGCTCCACAACCAGAGGTGAACAAACGGCGTTGAGGAGACAACACTATCCCCCCACCGCTCTCACTCTCTTTACGCACTCGCTCACGCGGATCGGCCGAACGCCGTTCGCGATCACGCTCACGACTAAAGATACCCTAAGTAAGAAAGTAAAGTTTAAGCATAGACGTACAAAAAGCCTTAACAGTAAACTAAATGTTTGTTGTAGAGTAATACGCACAAAATATTAATAAGGCTTATAGAATTAAAAAGGTGTATGTAGGTACTTGAACTAAATATTGACTATTTTTATTAAAACATTACATATTGTTAAACATAGTATATTTTACCTTATGATTTTCATTGGGTGCGTCACCCTTCGCTCCTTTCTCTTCCTCGTGGGGTGAATCTGATCGTCTCTTTAATACTCTGTAAATTTTGAGTTGTGAATATTATAAAATTGCTAAAAGCTCGCTGCAGCGGGGTTGATGGGTTGTATCTGCCTATCTTTCTATATTCTATTCTAGTGACATTTTTTAAATTACTTTTTATTTTACTTACAGCGCCATCACTTCATTCCCGGCGAACGCGTTCTCAAGACCCTGCTTTACTAGCGGCGAGTTGCGTATACGCATCAGCTCGTCGCGCGTGTACGTCAGCGTCTTCCGTACCGGGCCCATCGCCAACACTGCCGGGTCGCCATTGCCTCCCGAGATCGAATTTTCGTCATGACCTGTTAATATGGTATATATATGTAATATATGGAAACTTTGGGCGTCACATCCCAAGACGTAGCCGATCACCAAAGACACCTGTATGACACCAAGGTCACTTCGAGGTCAAATGCATTAAAATGTATATTATTTAGTTAGTTTTATAGCAGAGGGCATTAAATTTTCTAATTCAACACATTTTGTTGCATAGTCGTGCTTAATAGTAAAATATGTAGGTGCTGTAGAAATGATTTTATAAACTACTTTGAAAAAAAATTGAATTAGAAAGTCGGAGAAATAAGTATTTTAAATTACCTAGCATAATAATACCTAAGTAAATTAACAGGCAAATTAATTATCTATTAACTATTGTCTGTATGATCCAATTAAGTGTGTATAATCGTATTCTATAATAAATGATAGGAAGCCAAAAACTGCGTATAAGATTGGAAAATTTTCAGGGACGCCATTTTGCATGTTTGCGTCACAAGGACGTATCAAAAACAAAAACTTACACCACGACACCCGTTTAACCCTCTTAGAAGGCGGGCCGGCGTGTATTTTCGGTGGCAATTGAGAAGGCACCTTCCTTAATGCACTTTGATAACGTAGTAGAAAAGCATGAACAGCGCACTTCACTGGTGATTTCATATTATTTTTAGTTGTTATTTGTGAAGCCATCTTAGCCCTGGCCTTAGCTGAACGGCTACGCTTCCTGCGGCTACGGTTCTCTTTCTTTCTACGAGCCCGACCCTTCTTAACCGTATTGCTAATAGCGTTCTTTATCTCCATCATCAATTTACTTACAAAATAAAACTTAACACTATAATTACCCTAATAATGTACACTAACACTAAACTACAAATAAATTTGTCAGCAAAACGCTGCTATATGCGCAAAAGCACGAATAGGTTCTAATCCAGTTATAAAAATGCTAAACGATTCAACAAAACGCAAAAATTTCTAAGCTAGAATATCCGTACACGCACAAAGACAACGCCTTATAGACTGAAAATTCTAATGGCAACGGCCAAAGCTAAACTCATCTCTTTTAATCTACCGTCATTTTTATGAAAATTTATCAAAATGTTAGAAACAAATTCAAACCACCGTCATGACGGCGTAAATTTTGAAAATGAAATATATTCATCGCGAACACAACGATGCGTACATAATAACGATTTCATTTAAATATTGGTTATTGTTATTCTTAGACAAATACGTTCTACACGTCATATTATCATTATTCTTTGATAAAAATCGATAAAATCAGCACTTAATTTGCCAAAGCAGCAAATTGCGATTGTCAATATTTACGCAATTTACGAAATAATATTAAAAAATGTTTTGGAGAAATTGTTACAACTATGTAACATGAATATTTGCAATCATTATCTGTTTTCGCTGTACATCACTTTTTGACTTAAAATGTTGGATTAAGTAAATGCTTGCAGTAGTTTTTAAAATCGTATTTAAATATTACTTTTATTACGTTTTTACTTTTTTATTGATCATTGTTATGTTAATGCAGTGCAAATGAAGGTTGCACAAATATATTGTTATGTCGTACTAGGGGAGAGTTACCCTTGACCTTCACTCGCTTGCACCCTTCAATCACGGCAGGGGAATTAACCCTTTACTTTGTATCAAGAACCTACATCACCCAGTCCTTAGTCTATAAAATAGACAATAAGCTACACATTTGTACATAATGATATTCTATAGTAAAGTAACTATAAGGGGTAAATTTAGGTCAACTGTAAATTGAAGCTGTTACAAAGTGAACCACCATAATGTCAAAAACATGTACAAAGTAACCGTTTTTATATGTAATATAAGAAACATCATCAAGATTCAATGCATATTTAAACAATTGTTTTACAAAGTGTCCGTGTTAGGCAGGAGTTTTCATAATTTACGTTTACATAAAACATTATTTTTCATATGCACATAAATATATATTTACCCAGTATAAAAAATCTTGATTGTGCTTTTAATAAGCACTCCCACTAACCACAGGAAAAATAAAGTTTTTTGATAATGTTATACTGTTTATGATCAAAAAAACAAACTTAATTGTTTCTATCAATATCTATTTGTAACAGAATATCAAGAAATAAACAATTTGTATATACATTTTAAGATTTATTAATTGCACTGATCTTATAAATTTCTTACGATCATAAGCTTGGTTTAAAAACCACAAGGCTTAAATCACCTTATTAGGTAACTCAACTCTATAGTACACAAACATAATAAGGTTTCAGACTCTATTATTTATTACATATTTGTATGTAGAACTTTCATAGTGTACTATCATGTGTATCACCTTCGGTTTTCAATATGAACACATTCATTGTTGAATCTATGGTTTGCAATATAATTCTATTTTACAATGCTGATACATATATTGTATATCTTAAAATAATATCGGTTTTTCATAAATTTCATAAATAAAATGAATAAAAAAATATGTTATGTACTCCTAATGAGTTTTTTTAAGTATTCAGTCAGGAGGTAAAATTTATGAGCTTTCAATATTCAATGATTTAATGATATGTAATGGAAGAGAACATCACCACATGTGTTAAATTACATTATTTACCCAAAACTGTTTTTGTAATCATAAAATAAGGTACTTACTACCTCTGTTATCCAATGTTATCAAAAATTATTTACATTATTGTCCGTGGATTGTCTCTTTATAGGCTTAAAGTATGTTCAAGAATTTACACTGGTCTAAGAAGAACCAAAATAACTTAGGCATCAGCAACTTACATCACTTTATCAACCACTTATATAAAAAAGCTAATTAAGACTACTTCATTTGCAAAAACAAGAATCCAACGGTATCCTTTCTTTAACCCTTATGGTGCAGTATCATAATGTTGTTGTCCTGTAATTGATTTGAATAACAAACAAACATATTATCTATTATATTGCATCAAGTGATTATTTTCAACTACATGATCCATAAAAAATAGTATAATGAATGATTAAGATTTTTTAAATAAATATGAAACTTTCTCCATTAACTGTTTTCCAATTTAAAAGCTCTGGATTTATGTATTTTTAACATTTCATTAAAAAATTTAATATCAATGGCAGGTCCTGTAAATAAGCCAAATAACAAACTACAATGATATCCTCTAGAGAAAACATGATTGATTACTGGAATAATTAATATGGTAAGTAAATTCAAAAAAAAATTGGCAAGGTTAGTTGACCTGAATATTTGGCAAAAATTTAAGCTAGTATTGGTTAAAACTAATTGGACAGTTAAGAATATTCTAGGACGCCTAAATTAGAAAGTGTTGACAACATTGTTCTTCTCAATTACGAGGGGTTCAAGCATTTAAAATAAAAGACAATTATCTACCTGACTGGTTAACTTCATCTTTTTGGCTGTCGTCCGTTGGTTTCTCCTTAAGTGTAGACAATAAACTCACTGCTGACATAGCTCGCAATCTCGCACAAAAAAACTCAGTCTTCGTTCAATATATTAACTCTACTAAAATTCTATAATATTCATACAATATTTACAAAAGTATAGAGAAAAATTATTCTATCACCTAAGTATTGTTTATATCACAGACTTTTCGTTTTTCACAATACAATACGGAAAACGTCCACGAACAAAAATATTATGTACAGAACTTCAAGTATAATAAACTTATTTACACATTAAAAACTAACGATTATCAGCTAAATATAACAAATACACTTTAGCGGTCACAATCTGATCATATTTCATCTAAAAGAATTTATCAGGTTTCAATGCAAAATAAATCGTCCGCCATATGCTTTTTGAGACCATATAAACCGGAAAATTTATGATATTAAATTGTACAAAATCTTCACATCGATTTAACGTACATCATAAATTGTAAGGGTTATATTCAGTTGCCAGTTGTCAAGAAGGTATATATTTTTTTCAGTTCGTTAACAGCCTGCATTTTTAAACTATTATCCATAAATTTCACAAATTTTACTCATAATATTGATAGAGCAATTTACAAGACCGTTTTCGTATGTGAGATTTTTGGTAATTATTTTATGTTGTCACATATGATAATATACTCTGGAGACTATTCAACATCCTTCCATAGATATAATAACCACAGGATGTGACGTCGAGTAAGCTTGACAATATCAAATTAGCTATAAAAAAAAGTATATCGATAAGCCCATCCACCCAAAAAAGTGTGAAGGTGCAGTTTGAAAGATTACCTCAGGAGAGAACTACACGTTTCCGCAATGGAGTATCAGCGTTCGATGCGCTGAATAACTTAAAATCTTGTAATAGGTTTCGATCTCGGGGTAAACGGAAGAATTTACCGAAGGCAACGTCTTCTACGCTCACAGTGAACTTTACCAATGTTAGGGGGCTCAAACAGTTGAGCTACAGTTGAGTTTCATCATCGGTCGTCGAGGCAGAATACGAAATTCCACCCGTATCACCTCGATGTCGGGCGTTCGACATCTGAGCGTTTTTAAGGCTGTTTTTGCCGCGAATCACCACTGTGTGGAACCAGCTGACTACTGGAGTATTTCCGAACCAATTCGACTTAGGGTCCTTTAAAAAAAGAGCGTGCTAATTCTTAAAAGACCAGCAACACATTCGCAAGCCCTCTGGCATTGAGAGTGTCCATGGGCGGCGGTATCACTTAACATCAGGAGAGCCTCCTGCCCATTTACCCTCTGTTCTATAAAAAATATAAAAAATGTGTGCGTGTACTAGGTGTACACACGTAAGAAGTGAAACTTCTTTATGACCTTATTAGAAACTATTTCTTTAAACACAGTAAATTTTGATACACTGCCTAGCATACAATTTACAAATTAATTGCTGCAAAAAGCGATTAGCAAATTTCAAGTCGAAATTAATAATTTAAAAATATTCTAAAGTGTAGTAATCATAATCTATGCTTTAGAACTGTCAGGTCCTTGGTCTGTACGTCCGTGAGTCTGTGACTTGTGAGAATTACTTGAAAATGAGGTAGACCGTAAAGGTGTTAGCTTTGTTACTGATATCGTAATACTTCTAAGCAGTAAAGATTTGTTCCAAGCTAATTTGCATGTTCTTTTGAATTATTTTATTAAAATGTCTTTAAAATGGACTGGTAGTGAAACTGGTATTCTTCGAAGAAGTGATTTCAAGGAGAAGAAAGAAGAGCTATTCGTGTTCGGTTATTCGTGCAAATTGTTTCGGGACGATGAAAAAGCCCTGCACATTGATCAAGGAAAACATCTCATACCATGGATGGGGGATGAATCTTTGAAAATCGACAGGTTCGATACGTTTTTTTCTATAAGACTGCTAAATGTGCACTAAAGAGCTGTTATAAATTATTAATTATCAGAACAATATTAATTTTTCCGAAGACCATAAGTATTTCGCAGAAAACATTAGAAGTGATGGTGTCGACATCAAGACGAGTCTACTTGGTCGGTGTCGGCTTCGCAATAGTTATGGTGACTTCACCTTGTGGTATGTATACACTGAAAAGGTTCATTGCGTATGTATTCTGCACAAAATTCCAAAGTCAAGAGTGTTCTCTCATGTAATATCATGATAGTATTAAGGAAAATTTGTAACTGTAAGTACCGGAGGAATACAGAGAATAGTACTGTGTTTAAGTTTGTTTTTAATTACACTAGACTGACTGAAATGTCTTAACCTTTATTGATTCTCTATTCATCTTGTTATTTAATTTCTCTGTTATTTATTAAAACGACAATTGACATTAAAGCTGCCTGTAATCTTAATTAAGGCTTTAGGTCAATAGTGATAA